TGTTCACAGGGCATGCTCAGTTGAAGTTTCCCTCTCTGCGCGTTCAAGATGTAAGAAAAATAATACGAAAGAAATGCAACAATGAAAACTTCAAAAAGGCATCAACAACCAAGCAAGTGGATCCATAAAATGGACTGATTTTTTTAAAGGCATTTTTTAAAAAGTCTTTCAAAATGGACAGAATTAATGTGTTAAACATGTTCAGAACAGTTTGCGTTCTCATCTTTGATTAATCCTGGTAAACAGGTCTGTTTTTGTTCTGTTCTAATTCTCTCTGTTTAATACATTTAAACAAAATTACTTAGCTACTTTATTAACTTTTTTCTCTGCATAAAGACGAAGTATCAGTAAATAGTGGAAATTAAATGTATTGGTAGTAAGCAAATAGCAGATGTTAAATGTTACTTGCAGTATGTGTTTATAGAGAAAATAGAGATACTAAAATTTACTAAAAGAATATTACGTCAAGTTTACTGTAAAGTGTACTTTCAAAACTGTAAGTATACTCAATTATATAAGAAGTACACTACAAGTAAACATATATTATTACTTTAAGTATAATTTTAAGTATACATTCAAAGAGAAAAGTATACTCAATTATTTCAAAAGTACACTGCAAGTAAACGTATAATGTTAAAGTTTATTTTTAAGTATACTTTCAAGGGCAAAAGTACTCAATTTTATTAGAAGTAAACTTATACTGTTACTTTTAAGTATACTTTCAAGGAGAAAAGTATACTCAATTATATCTGAAGTACTCTATAAGTAAACTTATATTATTACTTAAAGTATATTTTAAGTATACATTCAAGAAGAAAAGTATACTCAATTGTATGAAAAGTAAACTTATATTGTTACTTTAAGTATACTTTCAAGGACAAAAGTATACTTAATTATATCAGAAGTACACTCCAAGTACACTTGTGATGTTACTTTAAGTATACTTTCAAAGAGAAAAGTGTACTCAATTATATCAGAAGTACACTACAAATAAACTTAAATTATTACTTTGAAGTATACTTGTAGTATACTTCAAGTATACTTTTAGTGGCCCAATTTAGACCCAAGGAGTATAATTCTAAGTAAACTTTAAGAACAAGTATGCAAATAAACTTATGTACACTTAAGTATACTTGAAATTAGATACTTAAAGTATACTTCTTTTTCGTAAGGGTTTCAGAAACTAAAGTTTTTGCAATGTTATACTAATGTTACTGCAAAGTAATATTAACCTTAAGATAACATTTCAGAAACATTAATCTTCTGTTCCATTATTGTTTTGCTAACCTTAAGATAACGTTCCAGAATCATTATGCTGATGTTCAAGCGTTGTTTTGCTAACCTTAAGATAACGTTCCAAGTACATTATACTTGTCATGTTCTGTGTCCCTTTGTTCCCCATCCCCTCCAATTCCCACTCCAGGTTCTCCTTTTGTGTTTCATATCGCCCTCATATGTCCTTTGTCTGCATCTCATTTATGTGTCTCCTGTGTTCCTTTAGTCTTCTCCAGTCACCCCTCTGCAGCCAGTCGTCCCTCTGCAGTGTTTATAGTTTCAGCTTTTCATTTTTATTAGTCTCTTTAATATGTTTTGTCCCACCGGTTTTTGTAGTTCTCCTTCCCTTTAGAATTTTAGTTATATGGTTGCTTTTGTGTTTTTAGGTTCACTCTTAGGTCATGTTAGTTTCTTCCCTGATTAGTCATTGCTTTCACCTGGTCCTCGCCCCACACTCCACACACCTGCAGCTCATCTGCCTCCCATTATGCCCCAGTGTATTTAAGCCCTGTCTTGTCTCTGTGTCTTGTCGGTCCATTGTTGTTTGTTGTAATTCTGTCAAGTTCTTCTCGTGCCTCTAGTGCTTGGATCTAGTCTTCTCGTGCCTCTTGTATTTTTGGATCTCCAGATCTCTATCTGGATTTTTGGACTGTTTGCTCCCAGCCTTTTGGATTACTTTTGTTTTTTGGTTACTCCTAAAATAAAGGATTTCACTTTACATCTTCCCCAGCCTCGTGTCATCCTGGGTTTCAGCATATTTGGGTCCTAAACATCCCCAGATCGTGACAATACTGATGTTCCAGCGTTGTTTTGCTAACCTTAAGATAATGTTCCAGATACATTATGCCGATGTTCCAGCAATGTTTTGCTAACCTTAAGATAACGTTCCAGATACATTATGCCGATGTTCCAGCAATGTTTTGCTAACCTTAAGATAACGTTCCAGATACATTATGCCGATGTTCCAGCAATGTTTTGCTAACCTTAAGATAATGTTCCAGAAACATTATGCTGATGTTCCAGCAATGTTTTGCTAACCTTAAGATAACGTTCCAGATACATTATGCTGATGTTCCAGCAATGTTTTGCTAACCCTAACCCTAACATTCCAGAAACATTATGCCAATGTTCCAGCAATGTTATGCTAACCTTAAGATAACATTCCAGAAACATGCTGATATTCCAGCAATGTTTTGCTAACCTTAACATAACGTTGCAGAAACATTTTTCTAGCCTTTAGATAACGTTCTGGTAATGTCAGGCTAACGTTTTAGCAATGTTTTGCTAATGTTGCAACAATGTTGTTCCAAACATTAACAAAATGTTCCGGTAACATTGTAGCAGTATTGCAGCCATGTTATGAAAATATTCCGGGAACGTTATGCTAATAATCAAATAACGTTTCAGTAACCGTTCCAGTAATGTTATGCTAATGTTCTGTTAACATCACGCTAACCGTAAAATAACGTTCAAACACCTTTAAGCAAACATTCCAGCAATGTTTTTGTATCGTTAACACACCATTCCAGTAACGTTAAAAAAACTGGACATTTCTACGTTTTTACAACATTCAAAGTAAACATTCCCATAACGTTCTGTTAACATCATGCTAACCGTAAAATAACATCCAAACAACTTTAAGCAAACATTCCAGCAATGTTTTTGTAACGTTAACACACCATTCCAGTAACATTTAAAAAACTGGACATTTTTACGTTTTTACAACATTCAAAGTAAACATTCCCATAACGTTCTGTTAACGTCATGCTAACCGTAAAATAACATTCAAACAACTTTAAGCAAACATTCCAGCAATGTTTTTGTAACGTTAACACACCATTCCAGTAACGTTAAAAAAACTGGACATTTCTACGTTTTTAAAACATTCAAAGTAAACATTCCCATAACGTTCTGTTAACGTCATGCTAACCGTAAAATAACATTCAAACAACTTTAAGCAAACATTCTAGCAATGTTTTTGTAACGTTAACACACCATTCCAGTAACGTTAAAAAAACTGGACATTTCTACGTTTTTACAACATTCAAAGTAAACGTTCCGTTAATGTCATGCTAACCGTAAAATAACATTCAAACAACTTTAAGCAAACATTCCAGCAATGTTTTTGTAACGTTAACACACCGTTCCAGTAACATTAAAAAAACTGGACATTTCTACGTTTTTACAACATTCAAAGTAAACATTCCCATAACGTTCTGTTAATGTCATGCTAACCGTAAAATAACATTCAAACAACTTTAAGCAAACATTCCAGCAATGTTTTTGTAACGTTAACACACCGTTCCAGTAACATTAAAAAAACTGGACATTTCTACGTTTTTACAACATTCAAAGTAAACATTCCCATAACGTTCTGTTAATGTCATGCTAACCGTAAAATAACATTCAAACAACTTTAAGCAAACATTCCAGCAATGTTTTTGTAACGTTAACACACCGTTCCAGTAACATTAAAAAAACTGGACATTTCTACGTTTTTACAACATTCAAAATAAACATTCCCATAACGTTCTGTTAACGTCATGCTAACCGTAAAATAACATTCAAACAACTTTAAGCAAACATTCCAGCAATGTTTTTGTAACGTTAACACACCGTTCCAGTAACATTAAAAAAACTGGACATTTCTACGTTTTTACAACATTCAAAATAAACATTCCCATAACGTTCTGTTAACGTCATGCTAACCGTAAAATAACATTCCAGCAATGTTTTTGTAACGTTAACACACCATTCCAGTAACGTTAAAAAAACTGGACATTTCTACGTTTTTAAAACTTTCAAAGTAAACATTCCCATAATGTTCTGTTAACGTCATGCTAACCGTAAAATAACATTCAAACAACTTTAAGCAAACATTCCAGCAATGTTTTTGTAACGTTAACACACCGTTCCAGTAACATTAAAAAAACTGGACATTTCTACGTTTTTACAACATTCAAAATAAACATTCCCATAACGTTCTTACAACAAATTTTTGTTAGCTGGGATTTTACATTACGTGAGCTGCTGCTGTTAAAAAGAGGCACGCCGAGTCTGTCTGACAGATGTAGAGACTTTCCTGTCAAGTCCCGAGTCAATTCCATTTATTTGCTGAAACCATAGACTGTACATACTGAAACAAGCAGGAAATGCAACTGAAACTGATTATAAACAAAGTGCTGCTGCATTTAGCAGAACAAGATCAAACCCAGAACAAAGAATGATTTATGATTTCCGTCCATGTCGTGTCCCTTTTGAGCTAAAATATCAAATATGCTCAAGTCATCATCAAGTCAACAGGTGCAAGTTGATTCAAGTTGCAAGTCATTGGCGTTCCAAGTCTAAGTCAAGTCGTCTTTATAGCATTTATCAAGTCAAGTCAGAAGTCATTAAAACAATGACTCGAGTCTGACTTGAGTCCAAGTCATGTGACTCAAGTCCACACCTCTGGCCATCACTGCATGCATGGTACCTTCTCTTATATGTATGAAAGAGCACTGGGCTGCAAGGCAATGACTGCCTGAATTTAAAAAGTGACATAGTGGAGATGATGCTGACAGCAAGATGATGAGTTTTGATTTTCCTCACCTGACTAACAAAATAACCTCAAGGCTAGTTTGTGCAAATCTTTCTGCATTTCTTTGTATTTTTTATCATTCATCTGCAGGGAAATATTAGTTAGATGTCATATTAGGATAGAAACGAGAACACTTCATTTAAAGTCCCATCACCTTTGCATTTTATTTACACATTCAAGCCAAAAGAATTAAAAGGAGTACATCAAGCAGAGAAATGAACACTGGTTAAATCTGAAATGTGTTGATAATATTGTTGGTGGTTGTATTTAAATTTACATTTTACTGGAACACCTTGATGACTTATCTCAAAAGCCCTGAGTGTCAGATTTCCCAGCACTGAGGACTGAAAACAAGAAGCATGGTGGACTCAGATCGAAGGAAGGAAGGAGAGAACCGTGAACTTTTAATTTTTGTTATAACGTTAGCTACTTGATTTGTTTTGGGCAGATGCATGGGGGGGATTGCTGTTTTCTGTTTCTCCTGTTTTTCTAACTGTACTTGACATTTACTGAAACACCAATAAAAGTTAAAAAATAAAATAAAATGGCATTTTATGGGGCCAAAAAATCTCAAAACATTTAACATAAAGTTCTCCATCTCTATGAAAATTTGATAAATATTAGTACATCCAAATTTCACATGATTCCCTCGTAAGAATATTTCCCCATCAGCTGCAAGAAAGTGATTTTATTTTCCTCGCACCTTTTTTCCCTCATCTTACAGATTTTAATGGAAAAGACAATAATTACAAAGTCTGTAATAGCTGTGTAGCTACTACACAATATTTGTCTTCTGCTTGTAACACTTTACTCCTACATTTGAATTACATGAAATATATACTGCCTGTAGTTGATGTGTGGGGTATTTGTCTTCAACAGTAAATCACATGACATATTTAGTGGTTTGATACAGTTACATGTGGAAAATAAACACCTGCTTTGGGCATTTCAATAGAATAGCATACACTCAGTTCTATTCAGAGTTGTAATGTTTGTTTGTACTTTTATCAGTTCTGTTTAAACCTAGCAATACTGTCATTTACTGAATCTGTCAGATACACAATGCTCTGTTTTTTCCCCTTTTGTATTTTTATAAAACTTTCACAGCCTTGAATCATCCCGCGGGCGGGGTCCGGATAAACTGGAAGATCTGGGAGGCCATCTGGGGAAAGAAACAATTCAAGAGTAAACGTTCATGAATGCTTATTTAGACATCTCTTGATAAATCCAACACACCAAACAAGCTAAGCTACTGGGATGACAGGCCTTTTTACTCAATATGTGTTTGCCCTGATTTTTCAGCTTCTGGAAAATTCCTCATGACAACGGTGGCGGTCGGGGAGGTTTGAAAGTGCTGCTTTGCGCTAAAGTCTCCACAGTCCATCTATGTGCATTTGAACAGTATTTCATCTGAAAAGGAGATCAACAAAAACTGTTTAGTTCATCTGTAATACACATGAAATAAATCTGTTTTTTTTTGCTCTTGTGGGTCATATAAACAGAGTTTTTAAATATAAGTATAAATTAAATATAATTTTCCATCAGAATAAGTAGTGCAAGCATATTTCATAATTTCACATTTAACGTTGTGGTTGACTGATGTATGAGTTTTGTTATAGTGAGTAAACACGACATATCCTTTTCTGGATTTTGTTTTGAATGTGTATGAAAACTTCATACGTGCTTATGTGTGTTAATTAAAAGGGGAAACAACATAAACTGCTAAATTTGCTATGATGAAATAAAAAAATCTACCTGTCAGCATTAATAAAATTCAGGCACTCCGAGATGTCATCAACATTTGAAAGAAAATAATTATTTTGATAATTTCCTTAAAAAAAACTCTATTTTCACCTCAACATGTGCCCCTGTGCGATGGTTTCATGTCTTTTCTAATCTAATATCACAAAGAATGATCTTTGCTTTGTATTTGCTTTCTGAGCTAATCTTCTACATTGACTATGCACACATCCTGTTTTACACAGTTAGAATGTGTTGAAGACAAAAATGTTGAATTCAGTAATTGAGATCAATTTTAAAAAATGACACAAACTCCTAAAAAAGATGCATTGTATTACTACATGCATTTGTAGTGTCAAACCCCTTGACCCCAAAAGAAAAAGAACATTAGTGTTTTTTACCTCATTCTCTAGAGCTCTGAGTCTGTGGTCGATGTCTCTGATTTCAGATAAATATTTCACAACACCATCCAGTCTGAAGTAAAAAAAAATACCACAAGGTTACAGTAGAAAAAAGGCTCTTGTGTGTGCTACAGACAGCGTGACTCACTTGGCAGATATCTGTTTGAGTCTCTCCGAGTCACTACTTTTCTGGATTTTGTTTTGAGCAGTCAGGACGTCCTCCTTCTGGATGGTTTCCCACGTCAGTAACCTGTTTGATGCTTTTTGGCTCAACTGCAAGACTAATCAAAGAGGTAGTTTACTGATGTAAAAGTCTGTCGTTTGTGTATTTAATGCAAAAACCACAAAAACCAAAATATGGAAAGTTAAATTAACAGCATCGAGTGACTGATCTAATTAGTTTAGCCAACAAAAAACATTCTGAAGAACTGTCAAATGTAATCTTAATTCCTCAGTTTAAATCAAGACTTAATTCAAAATACTAACCAAAATGTTTAATCTTGACCGAGGGAACTTTGCGGATGATCCTCCTGATAAAAAGGTTGATGTGTGAGAGGATGATGAAAGGAGGGGCTAGTGATGGCCGTGAATGATACTGGACCACCAGGTTGTAGCGCTGGAACTTCCAGTAGATGTCACTGTTACCATGCACTTTACTGAAGGTGTGGCTGTGCGGATGCAGACGGATTATACAATCTGAAAATCAGTTTTTAAATGTAGCATAACAACTTATACACACTGTTGTCTTGGCTGACCTACCTAAACATGGCAATGAGCAGGTTGATGAGCAGGATGTTGGTAACGAGGAGATAAATGGCCAACAGAATAACCACCAGCCAGTTATTGTACAGCAGTCTGCATGGCTCTGCACCCTCCTCAATCAACGTTATGTTGTCTGTGCACTTCGGAACCCAATCCCTCCCAACTGGAATGAATAAAGACACAAGAAAATGAAGGAAAAGCAATGTTTTCTTCCCTTTGCATTCAGGAAAGTTAGTTTTAACTAGAACATTTCTGCATTTGGGGCCATGCACCATCTGGAGCTCGCTTACGATGATCAGTGGAACAGAATCACTCTTTACAGTGATATTGCATAAAGATTACTCTAATACCAAGAAGATTCTGATTTAACACCTGTGTACACATCTAAGTTAAAATACTAATAAACTCACTGGGGCTGGGTGGCCTTTCATTGATCCTGTAAAGGGTCATTGGATGGATGTACTTCCTGAGGCAGCTGAAGAAATTCAACCTGCCAGAACAGTCGATGAACAGCTCTACACTGCAGTCATCGAGTCCATCCTCATGTCTTTAATCAACGTATGCTGGAGCCACCACCAGGGACAACAAGAAGCTGCAAATGTGTTGTACGTTCTGCTGAGAAGGTCATTGGCTGCAAACTCCCCTTCATACTGAACCTGTACACCTCCAGGACATTGAGGTATGCAGGTCAGGTAACAGCTGACCCGTGTCACCCTGGACACAGTCTTTAGGAGGCTCAGATCCATTCGGACCAGAACCTCTCACCACAGTTTCTTCCCTTCTGCTGTTGGACTCATGAATGACAGACAATCCTAGGGCGGCCCCTCCAGTCGCTTTGTTTCAGTCACATGACCCGGTGTTGTGTTTGCACCTGAACTGGTCTGCTCTGATCAGTATCTACACTGTCTTGTATATAGTAGCTGTTTCTCAAAATATTACCACTTTACATGAATGTTTTGTCATGGTTATATTCTTATTTCCTATATTTACTTATCTCTCATTTTTTGTCTTTCTTCTTGCACCAAGTACTGCAGCAATTTCCTAATGTTGTGATTTCTCGCACATATGGCAATAAAACTCTTCTGATCTGATCAGATTTTTAGCAGATTCTGGCTCAAGAAAAAGATTTAAAAATTTGAAAAAGTTGCAAAGTATCCCTATAAAATATTTCATGTAGCGCAGGTGACATCCAGTGGGACGGAGGGGAGCAGCCATCAGTTTACTAACACTGTTGAGTGACCCTTTATTTGTAATTTCAAGTAAAAAAAAAAAAATGTATTGCTGAATTACATTTAGATAAAATTTCAGGTTTTTATTGTTTGTGGTTGATTCAATATTCAATATGGATCTAAGTCAGGTTTTAGGCATCACAGGAGAATAGGTTGTTGGCATTAAGTTTTGGGCACCATCTAATTTATCACAGCAGAGACCCCACTGAGTTAAAAAAAACTGTGAAAAGACAATACAAGTTGCAAAAGAATCCCTCCTACCATCAATTTCCTTTACAAAATCCTCTCCAAACATGAGCAAGTACGGCCTGTAGAAAACTCTACGCAGAATACGACTGAGGTTAGGATCATAGGAGTAAATTAAAGCCTGGCTGGCTACTCCGTACGCCATGATCCACACTCCCAGGAAGAAGAGGAATAAGAAGGCATCCTTCATCTGGACAAGAGAATTTGGTATCTTATTGTTTTTCAAGTATGAACATCAAGTACAACAAGAAAATATTCGGTTTTTAAAATTTTCTCACCATCTTGCCAATGATGATGATTTTTGGTCCCAGTTGTTTGTGAACGGCAAACATGTGAATGAGGCGAAGAGTGAAGACCATGTAGTCCACACATAGGATGTCATGTCCTGCGTCATACGACTGCTCAAACATCCTAAAACACATTAAATTTTAAAAAGTCAAATTGTTCATTCACAAATAAAATAACTTGGAATAAATATGCATTGTCCCTCCACAAATAAACAAACACTGGGGGAGAATACATTTAAAGGTGATGTCAAATATGCAATGTCTGATTTTTAATCATTTTAATTTTTACAGTAAAACAAGTATATTACATGTGAGTTGAAAATCACATCCAATGGGATGCAAAAGTTTGGGCATCCTTGTGAATCTTCAAGATTTTCCTGTATAAATCGTTGGCTGTTACGATAAAATAGTTCAGATAAATATATCATATAGGAGACACACACAGTGATATTCGAGAAGTGAAACAAAGTTTATAGGATTTACAGAAAGGGTGCATTAATGGTTTAAACTAAATTAGGCAGGTGAATAAATGTAGGCACTGCTGTAATTTTATTAATTACAAAAACTTTAGAACAAATTATTGAAACTCAAATTTGGTTTGGTAAGTTCAGTGACCCTTGACCTCCATACACAGGTGAATGATCCAAAATATGAGAAGAGTATTCAAGGGGGGCAATTGTACATTTCCCTCCTCTTTGAATAATCTCTGAAGAGCAGCAACATTGGATCTCAGAACAACTCTCACAGGAGTTGAAAATATTGTTTACTATCATGGTTTATGGGAAGGATACAGAAGGCTGTCTCAGATATTTCAGCTGTCTGTTTCCACAGTTAGGAACATATTGAGGAATAGAAGACCACAGGCAAAGTTCAAGTTAAGGCTGGAAGTGGCAGACCAAGAAAAATATCAGATAAACAGAAGAGAAGAATGGTGAGAACAGTCAGAGTGAACCCATAGACCAGCACCAAGGACCTACAACTGGTGACGGAGCAAACGTAGAAGAAAAGCTTTTAGCGCTTCTTCTTGTTGTGGTTTTGAAGACACGTCCAAGTCATTTAGAAAAGATTAAAGAGCTGCAGCGAACTCACTTCAGAATGCAGTTCAGAATGTGTTTAGAATGCAGGTAAAATAAATGTAATAATTTTTTTAATATGGCTGTAACAAAACAAAAAGGGGAAAAATTGAAGCGCCATCAATACTTTCCACATGCACTGTTCAATAAGAGGATTAAGCATTGCTCTGACATGAATGATAGCTTCTATCACTGCTCAGAACCCTTGAAAATATTTGATGCTTCTACCTGCATATTGATCCTGCGATGAATAGTGTTATGGCAATGACATAGCATTTATTCCACACATCCTGAATGTAGCCTCTGAGGTATTGAAGATGAGTTCTTGATTCTAAAAAGAATATCTTTGAAAAGAAAACATGGACAATAAAAAACAATACAAAGGAGATGTAGCTGAATCATTACAAATAGAGAGCAAAGTCTTGTGAAGATCTGCCAATTTGAAGACTACGCTGCAAAAACTGATTTCTAAGAAAGTAGAAGAAAGCCAAATCTTTCAACGCTCTTAAATTTAGCCTAAAAATAAAATATATATTATTTTTTCTAGAAAAAAAAACTTTACTGAAAATAAGGTAAATATTTCTAAATATGATCCAGAGTTTCTTGTTTTGAGTGAAAATTTGTACCAATGGGGTAAGTAAAAGTTGCTTGGCTAGAAATCGTAAACTTAAGAATTTAAATGTAGGGTGTTTAAATCAATTTCCCTCTGGGATTAATAAAGTATTTTTAATTGAATTGAATTGAATTTCTCAATGTCAAGGCAACTGGCCTCGCAAGGCGAAGGGTGTGTCCAAATCTATGGGAAGGATGCTTGTAAGAGCGCATTTTGAGGTCGATGACATCACAGCACAGCGACGAGTACTGTCCGAATTCCAAGAATATTCATTCTCGCGTCCTCAAATGCGTCCTCGCTCTGCCCACATTTCGAGAATGGGTTTTGTGGATCCTCACCGAGCAAGGCTATCCCAGCATGCTTTGTGCGCCGGCCGCTAGACTGCACAGATTTACAACAATGGCTGACGGAGCGGGAGAGCAGTTCAGTTTCAAATGTAAGTTTTAAAACAAAATAGCGGTAAAAAAAATTTAAATACATGTTTGGGCTTTTTTCGTTTGTTTTTTATATAAGGTGTAATACCGGGTATCGTTTTTTCATGTATTTTAAGACTAAAAAACACCCCACCGTAAACTAGCTTGAATGTTTAATATGAAAAAAATGGGGGGGAAAAACACCGTAAATTAGCTTGAATCGTATTTAATCCTGTGACTGAACGCCAAATAATAACCAAAACTAGGTTCATATAGATGAAGTTTTAAGAAAAACATATAACTGTCAAAGAGCTTGAATGTTTTTCATTTTATTTTAGGCAGTAAAAAAATAACACCCATCGTTAACTAGATTGATTGTTCTCTAACTGTGACATCGCTAATGTATTTTGTTTTTTGTGCTAGGGACATCAGAACAAACCAGCACCCTCATTTTGCCGAGAGGGCAAAATGAGGAGCTCTTTACAGGAGCCAAAAACTCTGCCACAGTGGCATGGAGGTACAAGAGTAAACCATTTACACATTATGAGTGCAATAGTTCCATTTATGTTCTGCTGTGAAAACTACAGTTTGGCATTATTTTATTAACATAGCTGACATGTTTTCTTTCTTCTCTGGTTCTGTGTATCATCTCTTTAGGATAATCCTGCAAAAGATGGGCCTGCAGGAGAATGTCACCCCAGTGCAGGCCAAGAAAAAATGGGATAACTTCAAAACAAAATATAAAGTATGTACATGTGTGGTACAGGACATTTTCATCTCCACATGTTGATACATTTAATTTGTGTTTATTGCATTTTTTATCAACTATGATTTCTAATTTGACTTTGTTGTTCTACTCATCTCTATCCTCTTATTTTCTTACTCATCTAGAGCCCGTACCTTGAAGGTGCGTCTGCAATTTAATTGTGGCCACAATGTTCTCTGTTGTACAATAACAATAAAGCCTTCTAACTCTAATTCCATTTGTGTTTAGGACTGCAAGTATCCAGGGTCAGGAGAGGGAGTCAGTGGAAAGCCCACTGCTGAAACCTGGCCCTGGTTTGTCCTCATGGACGAGGTGTTGGGACAGAGGCCTTTCACTATGCCTCCTGTCCTTATTGCCTCTGTCTTGTGAGGCCAGGCACCTTGCTTACGAGGACACTGTCCTTCCTTGGTCAAAGAAAACGGTCAAATGGAACAGACTTGCATCACGTGATCGCGGCAGTCACGTAAAGTCACGTGACATGGGAGACAACGTTAGTTTTACGCAAAAAAGTTTCAATATAAATATATAACTAGCCTTTTACTTTTTAAATTGTGTATATATTGGTTAAATGGAATATGTAAGCGAGTTACTACCCGTTACCCACTGAAGCTGCAACTACTAAGCTAACTAACCAACCATAGATAACTTCTTTAGATCTAAAAAAAATTTTTTTTAATTAGTTGAATTACATTTAAACTTGAAATTTGCCACCAAAGTAGCTGCCGGCTTCTGATCCGCCATCCTTTTGAAAATACCGCGATGTATTCTGGGAAATTTTTGACCAAGGCTAGGCTACAAGACACCTCCTGTGTATCCTTGCTCAGCTAGCTAAACGGCTAACAAACGGAGAACACACATCTCGGTAGAACATGAACATTATATGCCTTGAAGGTTCCTGATGACTTATCTCCTAGGCAACCAGAGCAGGACTAAGCCATCAAGGCAAGATTCCTTGGCATTGAGAAACACCCTTAGATTATTTTACTAGTTTTAAGAATTCTAGCCGATTCTTACCCCAATGGCAGAATTTTTTTTACCTCAAAACAAACTTTGAATCATATTTACCTTATTTTAAGTAATTCAATTTTTCTAGAGAAGAGTTCGTTTTCTTGTTCGACTAAAAATAAGATAAAATGTCAAAAATTTTGTTTATTTGTTTTTTACTTTCTTAGAAATCAGTTTTTGCAGTGTGTTTTCAGTCCTTGTTGAGGTGATTTCTCGACAGCATTATGGTAACAAACAACTCTAAATGCATAATCAGTACTGATTATTTTAGTATAGAAACTAAAAAAGAATAAATATGTAAAGTTTGACGTTACCCGTCTGATCTCTTCACACATAATGGTGAACACCCAGAAGTACAGCAAACACTCTGAGATGGACGGACCAGTGGGTAGTGGAGGCTTGAAGTCAATCAAAAGCACGAATGCATAAAACACCAGAAACAGGAAGTACATCAGGACGTTTCCCAAAAATGAAGTCACTGGTGCAAACCAGAGCTGACGCCAGCGAGACACGATGAACGGGCGTGGTGGTGGTCTGTAAGGTTTTGCTGTGTCTTTATAAAAATAAAAGCAGACACTGTAAATGGTTACTGGTACGAATATCTATAAAATGTTTCAGTGCTTACTTTTCAAACAGAACTCACCACTGAAGGTAGGGACTGTTAAAACGATCCCTCTGTGTGTTTCATCTTCACTGTTGCAACAAGAGATTTTTTGTGAACCATTCCACTCAAATGTGCCTCATTAGAAACTGCGTCAGAAAGTCTAAATTTTAAGTAAAAAGCTACAAAGAGAATGCAACAAAAAAAATAGAAAAAGAAACAAATACTGCTCTTTAAATGATAGGAGTATTACAGGTTTTTTAAGTCAGAGAAAGACTTGACAGTTGTCCCATAATGACTGTCAGATGGTCCATCTACATGAAGCTTCTCCTCCTCTTGTTGCCGGTCATCTTGCCTACAGAGTCACATTTTCAATCAAGATTTTAAAAGGAAGAAACTTTAAATCTGAAAAATGTTTGGGTGCATCTGTTTCACCTAAATGTGATGAAGTTGGTGTAGCAGAGGAAGGGGCAGAAGAAAGTGAGCAGGAGCTTCCACACCTCTGTGTTCCTGTCCATGTCCCCCCACCAGATCTGGGACAGCAGAGCCTGGAAAAAAGAACGTATAGTTTTTGTCAAAGATCAAAAATGGCTTTACAAGTTGTACTAAAAGAAAGACATTTACAAGATTTGTGTAAAAGCTCTGAAAGTTTCCATGGAGTGTGTGGCAGCTTATTTTTTCATTGATCCTATCGTCTAATCTCACAGCTGAAACAAACATCCTTAATAATCTGTGCACAGTGAAGCTGGAGGAGAAGCGGGGTGATGTGGGTGTGTTTGGAGGACTTGGCCAGAAGTTGAGGACAGGCGTTCTGAACCACCTGTAGACGGTTCAGGGAGGTTCTGCTCAGACACGTGAAAAGAGAGTTACAGTAGTCTAAGCATGAGGAGATGAAGGTGTGGAGAACTGTCTCAAGTTCAGAGCAGGACAGAATGGGACTCAGCTTAGCAACGTTCCTGAGATGGAAGAAGGAAGAGCGAACAAGAGAACTGACATGAGAATCCAGGGTGAGAGCTGGGTCAAAGGTCACACCAAGATTCCTGACAGAGGGTTTGGCGTGAGAAGCAAGCTGACCAAGAGAGTCTCTGACTTTGGGAACCAGCTTGTCTGGGGCACAGATGAGGATCTCAGTCTTATCTTCATTCAGTTTGTTGGAGCTATTTGGGTAACTTTTTGTTGTTGGTTTTTTTTTAAGTTTATTTTCATTTATTCAAAAATAAAAACAAAACACAAAACAGGTTTGCAAAAACAAAAAATGAAAAAAGGAACAAAGTAGAACATACAATGTGTTTTTTCCCTTTCATTCTCTCTCCTTCATAAATATGTCTATCTCATAGCATCATATAAGCTAAGCCTTTCATTTTTGATATGTTTATTAAAGGTATATATTGTTTTGGTATTCTTGATTTCTATACTTATTTTATTCCACATTTTGACTCCATATATTGATACACAACGTTCCTTTATATTTATCCTATGTTTTGGTATCGTGTGTATTTTTTGCCTTTCAAATCATAACTACTCTTTCTTTCCATAAATCTTATAATCAAATTTGTTGGAAGGTGATTTTTGTCGACTCTATTCATAAATTTCAAAATACTATAATCTAATAGGACATAGTCGATCATGGAAATACGACCTAAGGCATCCTGGTGCAACGAGCACATTTGGACACCTTTAAGCTTTAACGTGGTGTTCACTATGGACAATCCACAATCCATGACGAGCACAGATTTTTAATCTGCACAAAATATTGTAGAGAAGATGTTCTTACACTTCATTAAAACCATAGAATGTGAAATGTCATAAAATATTAAATATCACCTTAATGGATCTTTGAGTAAATTTAACCAGAAGATCTGATCTTTTTATTGCAGGGATTGAGCAACACTTCATATCAACTCCAAGAAAGAGAGAGAGTCAGGTTTAAAAAGTTAAAAGATTTATTTCTAAACAATTTGAACAAGACTAACTTTAAACACTATGTGTATGATGTAACTAAGGTGGAGTAAGACTGAGGATGGTGTGTGTGTGAAATATGTTCAGAACCAGCAAATCCGGAGAGACGATTAGTTCAGCTTCTGATGGGAGTGAAAGGGTGTTTCGCTCTAAGCTTTGATTTGGAGATTATAACACACATTGAGACACCATCTGTCGGTCTCCATACCCCAACGGAAGTCCTCGTTTAGATCCGGAAAGTCGGGGGTCCAGCTTTAGACCCTCTTGGAACCGACACCTGTAGATATGCAGGGGTTGCGGACCCTTCCAGTCTTGAGTTACTCCCAGGTCACGACAGTTTATTGGCATCAGCGAGACCCTGAAGGGTCGTGATGGTTCAGCTTTTATTCTGAAGGAACCGTTGCAGCAGGTGGAACATGCAACAGATTTAATCCAGCTTGTCGTTAGGTTCTTTCGGCTTCAAGAGGAACGTTACGGATTGGCCATTCCGACAACTTCTCTAGAATGCTTGGAACTCAAGTTAAGATGACGTGGGGCATAGTTTTATAATTTGGATGTTTTGATTTATGGTCGAATCAGAATTTGCCACAAAAGGGGATTTAACATGCACCAACAAAACCACGACTCGCGTCAGATCCGGAAGGTTCTGATTGGATCAGGAAAAGGAAATGTGTCATGTGACTTTTACCATTACGTGTGATCAGTTTAGTGTAAATATTTAAAGTTATATTAATTATTTAATACTATCATAGGATTATAATATCAAGTAATTAATATTCTCATTTCACAGATTGATTGCACATTGAGCTTCACATGATTATTTGGACTAACAAAGTTATTTGATTATTATTAAAAGAGAAATAGTTCTGATTCTAAAAGAGTTCTTCTTTCTTCTTTCTTGTGCTGTCCGAGGAAGCAACAGTTTAGATAAGAGCACAGAGCATGAGTGACCTTGGCCCATATCCTGTAGATTAGGTTTGTGTCAGAAACTTATGGTTTTGCTTGGGCAGAGCAAATAGAGCAGGGCCTTTAGGTCAGAAATGGACGATTCATCGCGCTACAATATGTATAGTTGTACTGTCGGTAAGAGGCATGAAAAATGTTTTAAGCTAGCTTTTCTTTCTGAGATCTCTAGACACAGATTATATTTGTGGGGTGTGTGGTGGTACACTGGCATCTGGGACAATGGGAGCTGCGCAGGGGGAGCAGGGACACACGAGGAGCACACACTCAGCGCTTCCTATGCAGGAGGCAGAAAATGGTAAAAATGGTAAATGGCCTGTATTTGATATAGTGCCTTCTAGAGTCCTGGAACCCCCCAAGGCGTTTTACAACACAATCAGTCATTCACCCATTCACACACACATTCACACACTGGTGGGGATGAGCTACAATGTAGCCACAGCTGGGGTGCACTGACAGAGGTGAGGCTGCCAAGCACAGGCGCCACCGGTCCCTCCGACCACCACCAGCAGGCAACGTGGGTTAAGTGTCTTGCCCAAAGACATAACGACAGCGACAGACTGAGCGGGGCTCGAACCTGCAACCTACCGATCACGGGGCGAGCACTTAACTCCTGTGCCACCGTCGCCCCAGAAGAAAGCGCAGATGGAAGGAGCTGAGCTGAGCTGCAACAAACAATGCTGGTGATTGGTATGTGATCGCCGAGAGCGAGAAGCACTCCAGAATAAATTATGCAAATGTTCTGAGCTGCCTAACTGTGGTGTGTATTGTGTGTGACCCCGGAGAAGCTGGTGCTGCTACAGATGACAACACTGGCAAACCTGTACTCCATCATGGCCGAAGAAAAGTCGTGCATCAGCTCCCATGCCCATCTGAAGGCAGGTGGTTCCTCCCCAAACAGAAGATTTCCTAATCAGCAGATCAAAAGAACGGCTTTCATCGCTGCGGTAGCATGAGCTGAAGACATCTGATGGAAAACGAAGCAAACACAACAAAATGTAACAATCAAAGCAGATGTGCAATCCTCTATTTGTGACAACGGTGTTAAATGGAAATGGACAGTTCTTATTGCTTTCAAAATGTTAAACTTCTAAACAAAACCAAATCATGACTATGGAACAAAGAAAGCTCACCAAAACGAGTCATTCTTGTTTTCTTTATTTGTTTTTTTGTTACTATTGTGATATCATTCATCGCAAATTCTCTTCATGGTCTCACCATGTGCACGCATCTCAAATGTCTGGGCCAGCTCTTTCATGGAGAGTTTGGTTTCATTCTCAGACTCTAGCCTAGATAGCTCCCGCAGCATCTTACATCCACTCAGAGCAGTCAGTACAGATTCACTCTGCTGAGAAATACAAAACAAGGCAGGGGTGCAGAGAAATTTACACATTATTATATGATTGTGTTTAAGGAGCAACTTTGTTCATATTTTCAATACATTTGCAATCATCTTTAGTAGGAGTGAATGCTCTGTAAGTCGTTTTCTGGGAAATAAAACCTCAGGTGTTTGTTTGAGGAAGTAGAGTGCGCCGGAACACACCAGCTGCGAAGTGGATTGCTCACGAAATTCGTGCGCTGTCCGCTTCTCCTCTGTTCACATCAGGCGAGAATTTTCAACGAGTGCTTCTGCTCACACCTACTGTTTTCCAAATCCCCCACCCCATCCCTGTGCCCTTGCTGTGTGTGTGTGTGTGTGTGTGTGTGTGTGTGTGTGTGTGTGTGTGTGTGTGTGTGTGTGTGTGTGTGTGTGTGTGTGTGTGTGTGTTTGTGTGTGTGTGTGTGTGTGTGTGTGTGTGCTCATTTTCATTTCTCTAGTCTGTTTAGAAACACATAAATTATCACATTTATCAATTGCGATATTTTATTTCGAAAATGTTCTTTTATTTTGTTAAATTTACCGACCTGCCTCTTCTACTTCGGTTTGACTTCCTGCCAGAATTGACGTGGCTCACTATGGTGTCAGGTTTCCGCCAAAACCCGTGCAAGCGTAGCCAAAACCCGTGCACGCGTATTGTGCACATCGCGCGTGCGAACGGGACTCGCGCGTGGAGGTTAGAACCTCATGAGTGAAAATATACATGGCGAGGAGGTCATTTGTACACGGAGAGGGAGCAAACTGTGTCTGTGAGCACACAAGGATGTGCACAAGTGACAAACCTGCGTGCGCTCATTGGCCAACGAGCACACGGCAGAGGAAAACATGCGCGCGGCAGCCTCACTGCGCGCTCGGTGCGGCAGCCTCACTGCAGGTGTGGCAGCCTTTCTGCGCGCTCGGTTTCTGATTCTGCTCGCTCGGCTGTTGGGAGTTTTGGCACTCTGGAGGCGTGGAAGAATTAAAGTGCCAGAAACTGAGCAGTTGAACTTTCAATTTGAGAGCAGAATTTCATATCAAGAGACCATCTTTTTAATTTCAGAATACTATTTTATATTATTGCTCTCAAAACTTGTAATGCTTGCGCTCAAAATGTCTGCTCTCTTTCAAATTCACTCTGTTCTCCTTCAAATCTTTGTTTTTGCGCTCAGATTTAACCTTCTTACACTGGTATTGTCTTCTCATGTGACAACTTTTTCTCTACACGGATCAAAACTCCTCCCACAAGTCTGTCCCCTGCTCTCACGGATCTTGTCTGCTCTCGCTCAAAACTTAGAAGTACAATCTCCTAGCAACCGCTCAGCCAATAGAAAGACTTGTGGGACTGGGCGGGAACAAACCTCTTTGGGGTGCGCTCGTTTTGCGCTCTGTGGATTTTCCTGTGTGGCTGCCGCATCTGTGCACTAACAGCCTGGCTAATACCCGCCCTGATCTGGAGCGAGAGTTTCACCTGCACCAGCAAAATGGACCAGAACCAACAAGACGCTCAAGTAAGTTATTTTTGAAGGCTACTAGCTGCAGTTTATTCCATAAAATTGTTTTGTTATGCTACTTTTTACGACTCCTCACATTTAATATTGCAACATGGGCACATAGCTAGGTGGATTAGGGTCCTACATGGAATAAAATGTCCGGTGTTTTATCCAGGAACTGGGATCGAGTTATGAGGGGCTAGATATGTGTCAGGGAAAGATCCAAAAATGTTTTCTAGTGCCGTATTCCCCAGAGTTGGATAAGTGAATGAAAAAGGATTGTTTTAACCAGCGCAGTAATTCTTATCTGCCAGCAGTCTGTCTGCTTTAGATGAGAATAAACCATGTAAGTTAATGGGAGGTAGTAGCATTTTGTGTGCAAAACTGTAAAATTACTAAATTATGATACCAGTTATTCCTGTTGAGCTCAATAATCATGTTGACTGCAAATGAAAAGTAAGAAGTAACACATTTGCAGGAGCCAATTTAGACAGTAGACAAATTTTCACTTAGGGTGGAATATCCCTTTAAATCAAACTTCAAACATGCACGTTAGCAATATACAGAATATTTTAATTACATTTCATGTTAATCATTATTGTTTACTTAACAATGATTGTTGGTCACTGATTTAAAAAAATGTCTTTAATAGGTTTCCTGTCCATTGTGTGATAAGAATTTACTCAGGAGTCATGCCAGCTTTTGTGGTGAAGGAGGAAGAGGACAGGTGCATGTTTTTACCCATGCACGTTGTACACAATATGTTATGAGAGTTTAATCTTTTTTTTTTGTTTGTTTCCACATCTGAACAGCATCATACTGGATGTGGATGACTCTTCCAAGCACTTAAGCTGGTTAGAATTTTTACAAACATTTGTGTTAATGTGTAGGTTTTAAAATAAATAATAATAAACACAATGTTGTTGTCAATAGCTTATCAGACATCCTGAAGTTCCTACAAGAAAGAGTTGACAACACTAAAACCTTTAACATTAATGTGACAAGGGACGACCTTTACCAGAGAGGTCTGAAACAGCGGGCCAGACAGAAACAGGCTTTCCCCAAAAACCAGCTAATTGTTTCCTTTATTGGAGAACACGGCACTGATGAAGGAGCACTACGCCGAGAGTTCCTAACTGATATGTATTCCTTGCTAATGTCAACATACCAACTTTGAATATAGTTGAAAATGGCAAACTGTCATTTCTTTTTTCCCAATAGAAATGATGCGAGGCCTTGAGTTGAACTTATTTGAAGGAGTTTCATGCAAAGGCAAAACCCCAAATATAGTATCTCTTACTACCAGAAAAACAGATACAGGTATGTACAGTATGATGCTGCTCTACAGTGTAACTTGGCTTGTTTTGTGTTCAGGATCTGTGGGGAGATCAATGCCACCAGCTTGGTTCAAGCAGGACCAGCACCGAATTTCTTTTCTACTTGGTCTTACCATTTCTTGCGTCATGGACAAATAACAAATGAAGATGTGCCAGAGGTGACTGATAAGGAAATCCAGAACCTGATTCAGGAGGTAAATTAAACAGAATAATTTATTTTCTGTAAATTGTACTAACAAGTGTTTCTGATTGAAGGTCGAACGTGCCGAAGAAGACGCACTGACAGACCTTTCTGATGCCATTGTAGCATGTGGCTACACCGGTCCAATTCACAGCGATCGCAAAAAGGCCATCATTGAGTAGGCTATGTTAATGTAGCATTAAACAAGTCATGCAATTTTTGAAAATTGAGTTATTACAAGTTCATTATTCTTTTTACTAGGGCCATCAGTTTGCATTCGGTGATGAGACTCATACCGATGCTAAGTCAGCTTAGAGAAGGACTGGCCATCTAGGGTTTGGATGAGCTGTTGCCACAACACCACCAGGCACTTCAGCCCCTCTTTCTTCCTGGGAACCTTAAACAGGTAAGTACAAATTCTTTAGGCCTCTGCAAAAAAAATATGTCCATTATAAAAACATATAGAAAATGCAGAGAAGCTGAAGCTGTTTTTGTTCCATCAACAGTTCTAATCGATTCTTATAAAAATACTAAGAATCAAATCGATTCACAAGTACAAGAATCTGTTTAACATTGTTTGCCCCAATTTATTTTTTACAGCTATCATTTTTTTTACAGACAGCAATTTTAAGTTTTCTTTAAGGAAGCTATCAGATGTATTTTTTTATTCTAATATCATGGCAATGAAGTTTTACATATTTTTTAGTGGTATACATCTTCATTTTCTTATATTAATTTAGCTCTGCAGGATAAGCAGAAGCAGCCCTAACAGTTTTATCTTTTTAATTCACAGTATTTTTAAAAACGTCTTTTGTAGGTGGATGCAGACTTCGTTGTGGAGGCACTGGCTCCTCAGTACAGTGACAATGGATCAGTAAGACACAAAGGAAGTGGACATGATCAACTTTTTGCAGGACCTCTTGCAAAACCTGGAAGAAGGAGGTAGCCACAGAACCATGCAGGATCATTCCACTTTTACTGCTCATAATGCTTAGCTCTTTTTAAAATTTATGTTCAGCGCCTTGGGCTCCTGTAAAGGCAGTGGAAGGTGTTACATAAATAAAAATTGATTGATTGAGAAAATTTTGAAGTGTCAGAGAGACCATTGTGTTTCACCCAATCCCCCATCAAATAAAATTTTTTTTAAATAAATTATAAATATATTTGTTTTGAAACTGATTTAGCCATTACACCTTAATTACAGAGAGGTAATCAGTACCTCAATCATGTTAGTGACACACAGATTTTTTTTTCACCCTTCAGGAACAGATGACCAAGATGGGAGCCCATCAGATGGCTGTGGAGCAAAGCAGTTGTCAGTGCAAGGATTTTTTTCAGTGGGTTTCAGGCCAGGCACATGTGCCACTAACAGACACAGAAAGAGAATTTTACAAGATAACTAAATGTTGATCACGACAGTACCACCCGGTATGGACCACACTTAATCACCTTACCTACATGGCACGTTACTACATACACTGACTTTGAAAGTCAGCTTACTCAGGCAGTCTGTGATAGATTTGATTTTAGCAGACATTAAGTGAAAACAAGATGGTCACTGTTCTGGGTTCAGCTTACTGTATAATGGTTCAAATTTAACTTTGAATCCAAAAAGACAAATGGTTTTGTTAAATAATGTAATGTTTTGGAGCTAGAAAGCGACATTGTTACATGAATCCATAAAGTTAGGCTTATTGCCATTTCAAATACATGTTATGTATTTCTTTTGTAACATTAATAAAAGCACTGGAACTGATCTCTTGATTTTTTTATTTCAAGTACACATTAATCTGACAAAGCAGCATAAACATATTCTCTGCACAATAGATAAAGTTCCTTAGTGTTTGAACGCTCCCAATTTTGTGCCAGAAGCAACTGCAGTTCAGCATCTTAGGTGTGTTCTTGCTGTGTCTTTCTAAATCCATGCTTTCGTTCTTTTTTAAACACAGAAACAGTTTTGTTTACCTGTTAGTAGCTACAGTT